TCTTATATTTCTAATTAAAATTAGATACATTTTTTTCATGTGACTAAACATTGGGTTTTTCAATGTTCAATCTTCATAAGTAATCAAGAAGCCCACTTAAAATAATCAGAAAACAAAGTTGAAATGTGAAAGTAGGTCTGTCTTAATTAGTTTTGGTTTGAAATCTATTCTGTCTGAAAATAAGATAGTTACCCCTGCTTTTCTGTCGAATTTTAGAAGTAACACGCAGTGGCATATACATTACTCTTTCTATTCAGAGTTCTGTGGATGAACAGAACTGATAAACTGTATATATAATTAGAAGGAAGAATTCATTATATCACCTCACGTGATCAGCAGCTGGACAGTGTTACAGTGGCCCTCAGCTGGACACCTAGGGAAACCAGTAGCTGCTAAGTCTCTACTCAGAACCCAGGGATGCATCTCCAGTCTAAAATAAAGATATGAGTCCCTTGGAAAATATCTGCTGCAAGTCCACATTGAAAGGCTGAAGAATCCGGAGTCTGACGTGGGGAAAAATGTCAGAGTTCAGTTTGTGCACATGCACATAAGCAAGCTCACCCCTTCTCCCATTCTATGCTCCTTTCCAGACACTAACTTTTTGCATATGACACCTACATTCAGGGTCGGTCTTCCTTCCTCTGTTTGCTGACCGACCTGCCTCTCCTCTCCTCAGACACACAGTGCAGTGTGTTTTACCAGTCTTCCAGGCATCTCTCAATCCAGAAAAATTGGCAACAAAGCTTAACCATTATGACCCTGAATTTATATTTAATGTAAAGGATTCAAAAATACATTATAATAAGCATAAAAACATACACTAATAGTTATTAGTGATATTTAGAGATACTAAATCTTCATTTTAAAATATAATACTATATACTAAAAAGATGACACTCTCCTAAAGCAATCATTTCATAAACATTTACTGAGCATATTAAATGCAAGGCATTGTTAAATACCAAAATGAGTTCCTAACAAAGGAAAAAATATAGGGCTGGGAATGTAGCTCAGTGGCGTCACAACTGCCCGACAAGTGCAAGTTCCTGATTTGATCCCAGTGCCAGACACACACACACACACACACACACACACACACACACACACACAGAGGGAATATCTAATGGGTCATGTACTCAGTTTTCAAGTGGGCACAATTTTAAGTCCCATTAAATGTCAAAACCCACCAGCTACCACACCGTTTTGCCAATTATGTTTTTCACTGCAGGTGTGATTTGAACCAATTTGAACAAATTTAGATGATGCAAACCTCAAGAAAAAAACTAATAAAATCAAGTGAAACAAAAGAACTCTAAGATTATTCCTAGTACAATCTAGAGATTTTATTTAGAGAGTCATAACCTAAGCAATCACCAAAAGAAACTAAATAGATATAGGGAATAATTTTCTTAGGAGAGAAATTACATTTATTTTTTCAATTTAAAAAGTCATGATTACAATTCCATATATCTTAATTCTCTAGTCCTATTGCATGTCCCGTCCTCACTGCATGTGCCAATTTAAGTGAATCTCTAATTTTAAGAACTCTTCCTGAAACATCTGCCACATTACCTAGCAACATTATCACCATGGTTTATATCCATTCGAGAGCAAATGGTTAGCATCTGTTTTGAACATAGTAAGGGAAAAAAATAAATCTTGATTACGATCAACACTGACACATACATAGTCCTAAGCATATTTCACAAGTCAGCATTACTGCATTGTTTGTCTTCACACTTTTGCTTGTGTTGTGAGTGGTAAAATATGCATAGGATGCATAAAAATTAAGAACACAATAACCAAATTAAAGCATTAAATCCACAGTCTGTGAATTAGATATAAAAGCCTATATAAAAATCATAAAACCTTTTAAAGCAGTCCTAACAGAAGAAGAGAAACTGCCTAGTAGGCAGGCTACAAATTGCTTATAAATAAGCTGCTGAATACTTTCAAACTGCCAAAGGGCCTGAATAATTATATACAAGATTAAAAGGTGTGTTTTTCTAGCACAGTTGAAGCTCACTTGTAGCAGACATCCCTCCCCAGTATTAGCAGACTATAAGTGGCAAAAGCTTCTTGCCTCTCCACAATTTGGCTGTATTAGATTAGGGGTCCACCAAAGCTTTACATGGCTCAAAGGACATGTCAAATAGCAGAGTTGGGTGAGTATAACTCCTTGGCTAATGGCTGCTAAGATTTAAGTCCTGGTTCATGAAATATCAGGGCCCTACTGATTTAATTTCTAGCCAAAGTGAGCTTGACTCCAACTAAATTCTTTCCCTCTGAATTACCTATTTGTTCTTCTTAACAAGATACACTAGTGCATCCTTTTTACAGCCCTGCCTGCAGTACCCACGATCACTAGGTGTCCCAAAGTGTACCCTGCTCCCCTGCTTCCCATGCTTATAACCAAAAAACACTGAATGCTTGGGGCCTTTTGTATTTGCCAGCCAGAGAAACTTGGATCAACCAAGTCCCAGATTTCTCTCTAAGTTCTCTCTTGTCTTTTGTTCTTTTTTTCCTCTCATTAAGTTTATTGGTACATTCTAGTTATACAGTGCAGTTATTTTCCTCATTGGGATCTTGTGCCTTTACATGACAGGTCTTTGTTCTCATTTTTACCCCATTCCCCTTCCCTCCCTTCACTCCCTCCTCCCTTCCCTATTTACAGATACTTTATTTCAATTTTTTCATTTTCTCATATTTGTTTTTCTTTTCCCTTGTTTCCTCTTCCCTACCCTTCCCACTGTCTTTTTTTTTTTCTTGTTAGCTTGCTCTATATTGCCTTTCAGGGGATTGATACTAATGGCTGAGGCTCTTAATAACTGATCTTGACAATCACTGATTCCTTTGTTTATCATTTTTTCAATTAAAGATGACACTAGACTATTTCTTCAATAAAATGGGAGAATAAAGCTAAGGTTCTTCGAAAGTCCCTTGTACTATTGGAAGGAGCTGAATTTATTTTTGTCACCATTTTATTTTTGCTTTCTAGGGTACAGTCTTTGAAGGTGTTCATTATTGATTCCTTCCCTGCATGACCCATACCTTGTTCTAACTATCATAAAATGGAAGCTGTTTCTATTACCCTTGAACTGGGTTGGCGTCATAGACTGGCCTCGTCAGTAGAACATAGCAGGAGTAGTTTTATGCTATTTCCAGGTCTGCTGTTTAAGAGGACTCACAAGGTATATTTTCTCTTTGAGCATACCATGGAGAAAATTGTGCTGTACTATTGAATGAGGAGAGATCAAATTAAGAAGAAAGCCATGTAGAAATATATCAACAAGTTCTTGTTAGGCTTCCAGCACAGTTGCTAGATAGATGCAGGTGATTGACTGATCTTACTCAATGTCACATAGAGGATCCATCCTGCATCCCAGAATATAACATCTTAATAAATAATCAATACAGGTTTTGTTCCAAATCAATAATTTCTGGAGGAGGTGATGGTTTTACAAAGCAATAAGTAAGAGAAATAAACACATAAGGGCTAAGAAGAAGCCAATATTTATGATAAGAGTATTGCAAGATTTGAGCTCCACTCCTGGAAGCAAGATAAGTGTGCATTTAATTCTTGGGTAAAGACAAGAAATTTGAATAACAAAAACCCAATGCCAAAACCCAGATATATCTACAATGAACAATGGGAATGCTCAGTTAAAAGAATAGGTGTTTTCACTCTAATGTGATCAAGTAACCCTCTGAAATATAGATTAGTTTAAGTGTCCTCTATCTTCTCAAGCTCCAGAAAACCTGTAATTATTTTCAAATATTCAAGTTTTATTATTCAAAGAAACTATACAAACATATGTTTTCAATGTCATTATTTTCTGAGGACCACACTTATTCACAAATGAAATTCCTATACCACTAAGATATTTCTCTTAAGATTATTTGCTTGTAGAAATAAAAAGCTGATACACATGGCAATCAGTTGTCTCTGCCTTGAACATCTTGTTCTGTTTATATTATTGTTAAAATATTTTATGAGAAAATTAAATGTTAATGCTTCACCGGTAGGTGAAATTGCTAGTCACTACTTAAATTCAGTATATTGTATCAAACATCTTACTATCAGTAATGTGTCTCTTATTTTCATATTCCTCTGTATAAAACAAAGTCTCCTCATCATGGATAGCAGAGCTGTTTTCTTCATTAGTTTTGTATCTTCTCTTGCTCATCAGTTTGGTTTGTTTGGTTGGTTGGTTGGGTTTTTTTTTTGTTTTTTGGCCATGCCACATTTTCATAGTAATCATAATGGTAGTAATAATAACAATAAACAATAAAAATGATGGGGAAGAGCTGAGGCTCAAAACCTGAAATCAAGGTACTCAGTGTCTTCTAAGACTCAGGACATATCAGAACCAACAGTCCTCCTTCTGACATTAGCATAAGTGTAGTAACAAGAGTATTAAGTGACAGTAGTCTGATATGCCTACAAAAGGAAAAAGTACTTAGACAGATCCCCACTTGTAGAGCATACATGTTGAACACTGAGAGTTGAGCAAAATTAATCACCCATCATACCAGCCTCTCATAGTGAACACAAGACTCACTATCCCATCTCTGGAGAATTACTGTGCAAAAAGATATTAAGCAAGCTATCAAAGAAAGAAGTTCATTGGCTAATCAATATGATTAGGAAGTTCTCTTTTAGGAAAAGATACTGAAGACAGTTGCCCACTTGCGTGTTAATCCAGTAACCATTTGGCTTACACACAACTTACAAATTGCACATTATTTTATTTCATGTATTTTTGAAATAATACCTGTTTATATAACTGAATAACAACATATATATATATATACACACACACATATATCTTACAATTGCCACTTATGATATAGAACTTCACTGCCTTGGTCATTTTTACTAGATACCACAATATAATTGATAAATAGAACTGTCCACATATAAATGCCAAACTATAGTTTCAGAGTGTGTAAAAATATTCTCTGAAAATAGATTTGTCTTTAAATGTCTTCTTGAATGCTTGCTTTGGCAGCACATATACTAAAATTGGAACGATAGAGTGAAGATTGGCATGGCCCCTGCACAATGGGTGACCTGCAAGTTCATGAAGCGTTCCATATTTTTCTACAGCTAGACATATAAGAATCAAGATCCCGGAAACCCAACAGAAGAATAAAATACTACAAGCAGTTAGAGAAAAGAAACAAATCATATGCAAAGGAAGCCCATCAGAATCACAGCAGATTTTTCAACACAAACCCTAAACTCAAGGAGAGCCTGGAGTGAGGAATCTCAAGTCCTAAAAGAAAACAAACTCCAACCTAGACTGATATATCCTGCAAAACTATCTTTGATGGTGAAATAAAATACTTTCATAACAAAGAACATCTGAGAAATTTCATGAGCTCCAAACTGGTACTCCAAACACTTCTAAACAATATCCTGGAAAAAGAAAATGAAGGCCACAACTCCATATGGGCCAACAAAGCAAATATACCAGGCAAGGCAAGAAATTAAAGGGAGAGAGGGAAAATTAAAAAAACAAAAGTACCAACAACAGGAAAATAACATGACAATGAAAAGTTAATGCATAACAGTTATAACCATCAATGTTAATGGCCTCAATTCACCAATGAAAAGAAATAGACTGGCAGAATGGATTAAGAAGCAAAATCCAATACTAAACTGTAAATAAGAAACCTACTTAATCCACAGAGAAATTCATAGACTGAGGGTACAAGGATGGGAAACAGGTCTCCACATGACAGGAGCCCCCAAAAAGCAGGGTAACTATCTTATTTTCAGACAGAATAGATTTCAAACCAAAACTAATTAAGACAGACAAAGAAGGCCACTACATCCTTGTAAAGGGAACAATACAAGAGGAAGAAAGGACAATCATAAATATATATGCATCAAATACCAATGCCCCCAACTATACAAAACAAATATTAATGCATATAAAAAACAAAACCAATACTAATGAAATTGTAGTGGGGGGAACTCCATATTATTCCACCGACACAAATAGACAGATGATCTAGACAAAAAAACAACAAAATAACAGAACTGAATGAAGTCTTAGAATAAATGGATTTAGTAGGTGTCTACAGAGTGTTCCACCCCACAAAATCAGAATATACATTCTTTACGGCTGCACACAGGTCATTCTCAAAAATAGACCACACACTAGTTCATAAAACATGCTTAAGTAAATGCAAAGGAACTGAAGTTATCTCCTGTATATTATCAAAACATTGTGCAATTAAACTGGATATCAATAGCCTAAGAAACTGCAAGAACTTCAGAAACACATGGAAAGTAAATAGCATCCTGCTGAACAACCATTGGGTCACAGAGGAAATTAAAGAAGAAATTAGACAGTTTCTACAATTAAATGATAATGCCCATACAGCATACAGGAGTTTTGGGACACAATGAAACCTTTAAAGCTCTTGGGAGGTATTTTACCCTTACTTTACTCCCAAGAGCTTTAAAGGTAGGTATTGTTACTATGAAATTTTCATTTCAATTTAATAACAATTAAAGTCATCAGAAGGTACAATAAATGAGAGTACTATACACAGTGCATGATTCCTGTGCCTTGCTCAAAACTCTCACAACAGAAAAGTCCTAGGAAATTTACCTTCCTCCTTGCCTGACCCAAGCACCTTAACTAGGCTCCATCTTTCAGCTCTCTCTGTGAGGCATGACGGAAGCCACTTAGAAACCTACTGAAAGCCTAAGAAATTTGGAGCATTTCTAAGTTCATCCATCCTGGATGTGTATCAAAAATAAGCTCCAAATGAATAAAAGACGGAAGTATATGAGAAAATGAAAAAATGGAAATAATTTGTAAAAAGGGAAGGGAGGAGGGGGTGAAGGGAGGGCAGAGGTAAGGGGATAAAATGAGAACCAAGACCTGTCATGTGAAGGTACAGGATCCCAATGATGAATGTAACTCTACTGTATCCCTAAAATGTACCAATAAACTCAATGAGAAAAAAAGATGGAAGTATATGACAATAAACTGTAAAACTGCTAGATTAAAACATACCTTGGCCTTGATCTTGGCAATGATTTCTTTGATAGGACACCAAAAAGCACAGGGAGAAATAACAAAATTACATCAAATTAAAAAGTTTCTGCACAGCAAAAGAAATCAATAGAATGCAAAAGTAAAGTATGGAATGCAGAAAATATTTTCAAGCCATATATCTGATATGAAGTTAATATCCAAAAAGGTCTAAGACATTCTGATAACTCATTGGTAAATAGCCCAATTAAAACTTGAACAAAGGACCTGATTAAACATTTCTCCAAAAAAGAAATATATTTTCAAAAGACTGAAGATAACAAGTGCTGGTAAAAATGTGAAGAAATAGGAAGCCATTTTTACTGTAAAAGGTTGTGGTCGCTGTAGAAAATTGCTTGGAGTTTCCTCAATAAGTTAAAAGTAGGATGGATGATGTAGCAAGACCAAGTAACTCCACTTTGAGGCAAACTTTCATCCCATGGTATGCAAAGTGGATTGATCCCAGGACCCTACTGGATACCAAACCCATGGATGCTCAATTCCTTTCTATAAAATAGCACAGTATTTGCACACAACCTACACACATTCTTCTGTATCCATCAGATAATGTCTCATTACTTACAATCTGTGATACACTGAGATACTATGTAATAGTTGTGTACTGCACTGTTTAGGGAATAACAATTAAAAAATAAATGTGTATACATTTAGTTCAGATGCAGTTTTTAAAATACTTTCAATCTGAGGCTGAGTGAGTCTGTGAAGTGAGGTTTGTAGATGTAAAGGGCTGTGTACTCAAGAGAATTGGTGTCAAGATTTTAACAAAATATCTGTACTCCCATCTGTAGTGTATATTCAAATTATAGAAAAAACTTAAAGCTAATCAATAGTTAATACATAGACTATGATATAGAATATGAATATGAATATAGATATATATTCATATATATTCATATATAGATATGAATATTGTTCAACCTGAATAAACAAAAATAATTGAGCCATTTTTACCTCATAATACAGAAGAGCCTTGAGGATGTTGTGCTAATGAAATAAACCAGTCATAGAAGGACAAGTACTCCTTGATTATACATATATTATATACCTAAAATAGGCAAACTTGAAGCAGAGAATAGAGTGGCAGTCAGCAGGGGTTGTAGAGAAAAGGAAATGGAGTTCAGTGATATACTATATTACATATTTAAATATTTGTGAAGAATGTTTGTATTAAGCATTCTTACCAAAAAACAAAACAAAATAGGTGGACACAAGGTAATTTTTAACAATAAGGACATGTCTCTCCTTGGTCATGGTGATACTTTCATGGGTGGATGTATTTATCTAAAATCAATAATATATCTATGAACATATAAGTCAATAAATCTGTTGTATAAAAAGCATGCAAAGTATTTTCATCCATTTGGTAAAATTTATATAATATTAATTTTGATAAATAGAAACAGTCCTGTAGCCACCTTCAAAATCAAGAAAAGGGTTGCATTCTCCTCCATTTCTTTTGTGTTCCACTGTAGTCACCTCTTCCCAAACCCAAGCATCCAGCAAGCAGTTATCTGTTTTATCTTCCTTGATTTTGCTTTTGTAAAAACATCATGAAAACAGAACCACAGGTAAGGCAGCCTCTTTATTTACTTTTCTTTCAGTAAATATAATGTCATTGAGTTCCAGTCACATTATTATATGCCCATTCCTTTTTGGTTCTAAGTAGTAGTGATCCATTACATAAATATTCCACAGTTTGTTTATATTTTCTATAATTAAGGGATTTGGAATCTTCTTTCTTTGGTTTTTAATAATAAAACTACAAACACTTGTTATACACTTGTTTTAGAATAAAAATTAAGTTTTTTAAAGACTAAATACCTAGGAATGAGTTTGCTTGGTTAAAAAGTAGGTGTGTATTTTATTGTATAGGGAACTTTCCAACTGTTTTCCAAAGTGAATGAACCATTTTTAATTCCCACCCCTAATCATCAGTTATGAAGGATGAATAAATTCTGAAGGTTTAGTGTACATTACGATGACTAAAATTAATATATGCTGCATTAAATACTTGAAATTGGCCATAAGAGTATATCTCGAGTGTTGGAGAAACTACATGAGGTGATGGATGTGTGCTTTAGCTTGATTACAGTAATCATTCCACAACGTATATGTGTATGAACACATCACACTATACATCACTAATATATGTATAATTTTGTCAATTTTACCTCAATAAAACAGGAAAAAACAAAAAGAGCATGCATTTTGCATCTAAATTTATTTATTCCTGTTTCACCATTCTTCACTCATTTGTGTAACAACAAGTTGCTTTCATATTTCTCCTGCTGTCAAAGAATTCCTTTAACATTTTTCTGTGAAGTACATGTCCGCTGGCAAAGCATTTTCTCTTTGTGTTTATCTGAAAAAAAAAATCCATCTATTCTTCATTTATGAAAGATCTTTTTTGCTGGGAAGAGCACTCTAGGTTGACATTTTTTCCTTTCAGGATTATAGTTTATTAAATTCTCCTACAGCCTGCTGTAATGCTTATCACAGTTTCTTCTATGTTTTTTATTTCTGATTGTTTTCAACAATTTAAGTTTCATTTGCTTAGCAGCAATTTGAATAGGAAATTTATTCATGATTGTGGTTCTGTTGTGTTCTTGTTTATTCTGTTTGAATTGCCTGAGCTTCTTGGCTTTGTGGTTTGGTGTGTATCATTAATCTTGGAAAATTCTTCACTTTTAATTCTTTAGTTAAAACTTCTGCCCAGTTTTCTTTCTGGAATTAAATTTGCTTTTATATTTACTATTACTCCATAGCTTTTTGACGCTGTTTCCTGGGCTTTTGTTGTTGTTATTTTAGTTTGATTAACTTATTCTAGCCTAACTTCAAGTTTATCGATTATTTTAGCCCCTGTGTTAAATGTGCTGATGAGGCCATTGCAGGCCATCTTGTTTCATTTTATCATTTATATCTGGTTAAAGTGCAGTGGACGAGAGTGGCCAGTAGAGAGGACACCAGAGCAAGCTGTCCCAGTACATTGAGGGGAGAGAGACTGGGGGACAGAGCGAAGAAAAAGGAA